ATGATATCACAGAAACTGAGTGGGATATAATAGAACACAGAAAAACACTGGAGCACTGCTTCAGGACACTGGTCAAGGCAAGGACTTTATGGCTAAGACGTCAAAAGCACAAGCAACAAAAATAGATGGGATTATATTAAAGAAAAAAGTTTCTGTACAGCAATGGAAACAATAAACAGTGTGAAGAACAACCTGTTGAATGGGAGAAAATATCTGCAAACTATTGATCCAACAAGGGACTAATACGCAAGAAACTCAACAATTAAAAAAAAAATCCCATTAAAAAGTGGGCAAAGGACATGAACAGACATTTCTCAAAAGATAACATACAAATAAATGGCCAACAAATATATGAAAAAATGTTCAACATCACTAACCATCAGGGAAGTGCAGATCAAAACCACAATGAAATATTACCTTACCCCAATTACAAGGGTTATTACTAAAAAGACAAAATAACAGATGCTGGCAAGTATGCAGAGAAAAGGGAACTCCTACACTGTTGGTGGAAATATAAGTTAGTAGAGCCACTATGGCAACCAGTATGCAGATTTCTCAAAACTAAAAACAGAACTACTGGATGATCCAGCAATCCTACTACTGGGTATTTATCAAAAGGAAAGAAAATCAGTTTATCAAAGGGATACTTACACCCCTTGTTTACTGTAGCACTATTCACAATAGTCAAGATTTGGAATCAACCTAAATCCATCAACAGATGAATAAAGAAAATGTAGTATATATACACACTGAAATACTGTTTGGCCATAAAAAAGAATGAAATCCTGTCATCTGTGGCAATGCGACATGGATAGAAGGGGAAGGTCATTATATTAAGTGAAAGAAATCAGGCACAGAAAGACAAATTATCCCATGGTCTCACTTATATGTGGAAACTTTAAAAGTTGATCTCATGGAGGTAGACAGTAAAATGATAAGATACTAGAGGGTTGGAAGGGTGTGTGTATGTGTGTGGTGGGAGGGAAGTAGAGGGATGAAAAGCAGTTGATTAATGTGTACAAACATACAGGTAGAAGAAATAAATTCTTTTTTAAATTTCCAACTTTTAAGTTCAGGGGTACATGTGCGGGATTGTTACATAGTTAAACATACGCCATGGTGAACAGCTGCACAAAGGAATAAATTCTAATGTTCAAAAGCAGAGTAGGAGAATATACTTAACAATAATGTATTATATATTTCTAAACAGCTAGAATAGATGACTTGAAATGTTCCCAAAACACAGAAATAATAAATACTCAAGGTTATACATACCCTAAAAACTGACTTGATCATTACACATTCCATCCATGTAACAAAATATCACATGTACATCATAAGTATATACAAATATTATGTATCAATAAAAAATTTTTAAATGTCAATAAATATAGCCACCTCAAATATAACATATCTAAAATATATCCAGATATCAGCTTAAATTTCTCATTTTAAATTTGTAAAGATTTTATTTTGCAATTTTATGCAAATCAGTATTTAATATTTTCTCTCAAATGATGTATTCCATATAATTATGCAACATCAACAAAATACAATACAATTTTCTATAAAGGCCTACAGAAATACTCCCAAATGCTCTCAGTTTTCCCTCAATGCTGTACAGTGTATTCTGATGGAGAAAACGACTGGAAGCCAGAAGAGTGAAAGCAAAAAGACCAACTAAAAGCTAAGAGATAATATACTCACAAGTTTCTGGCTTAGACAAATTACTGAAAAGGACTAACAGATAATAAGAAATAGTTTGAGGAATAAGGAAGAGAGTAAAACAATCCAATTCCATTTGAAAAAGCTTGAGTATGACGTATCAATGAGATATCATGGAGAAGTTATCTCATAGTGAATGAGGTATATAGGTCCAGAATATCAAGCTAGAGACAATAATTTTTAGAATAAGGGAATATAAGTGATAACTGAAAGCTATGAGATCTTCTTGACAGGGTATTTAGAGTCACAGGAGATGAGAAATAGGGACATAACCATATACATTTGATCCTTGAACAATAGAAGTTCCAACTGAGTGGGTCCATTTATACATGGATTTTCTTCTGCCTCTGCCACCTGGGACAGCAAGACTAACCCTTCCTCCTCCTCAGCCTACTCAATGTGAAGACAATGAAGATGAAGACCTTTATGGTAACCGACTTCCACTTAATGAACAGTAAATGTATTTTCTCTTTCTTATGATTTTCTTAACATTTTCTTTTTGTCTAGAGCTTACTTTATCTTAATAATGCAATATACAATGCTAACATGAAAAATATTTGTTAATCGACTGTTTATGTTACCAGTTAAGGTAACCAGTCAACAGTAGTAGGCTCTTAGTATGTATGTTTGGGAGGAGTCAAAAGTTATATGGGAGTTTTCAACTGCATGATGTTGAAGGGTCCACTGCAGTTGATAACCAGAGGAAAAGTAGCAAGGAAATCTGAGACAAAGTATAACAGGTACTTGGAAAGTAACTTAAAAAGGAGTAGTCAACAGAATCAAATTCTCATAATTTAAAAGTATCCAGTATTTGAGTCACTGGTGACTTCAGTGAAAACAGTTTTAGTAGAGAGCAAGAGCCGGACTACAGGGAATTTGAACAGAAAATGAATGGGTAGAGACAATTCTTTCCCAAGTGTAGCTATAAAAGGAAAAAGAAGCAGCTAGGGGAAAGGGGGAGGTCAATGTAAGGGTTTTGTTTTGTTGTTTAAGATGGAAGGGGAAAGAGTATTCTTAAACGCTGAGAGAAAGGAGTCAGTGTAGAAGGAATAGGTGGAAGAGAAAGAATAGTTTATGAAAGTAAATCACTGATGACTGTTAAAAGAAAATTCTCTAAATTCTTATCTAAATTTCAGAAGACTAACAATTTGAACAAAAATAAAAAACTTTATATTCCTAATGAATTTCATACATTTATATCTTGAAGACATTCTAATCATTTTTTGTTGAAATATTATTCAACAAGGCAAGCAAGTAGGTAAAAGAGAATTCACATTGACATTTTACTTTCATTAAAATTCCCATTCTCTTTTTATTTAACTTTCTATTTACCAACTCTGCATTATTCAAGTTTCAGAAATAACATAAAAATCTATCATAACGTCAGCTGCCAGGCCCAACCTGCAGACCCTGGCCGAACGACAGAAGAAAAATGTATGCAGACACAGGTTTTTCCCTGGACGTGCGGCTAGGGGACTGGGCCACTCACAGACATCAAGGAGGATACCATAGAGTCACAGCGGCCGCAGCCCACACACGCTGGCATTTTTTAATTACAGATTTAATGACAAAGGCTTTGAGCCAACACACTCAAGGGTAATTAATATGGTCGCCACTGCCTTGCCACCCTCCCCCCACCTCCAACCCCTGCCCCATTGCCACCCCCACCCCCCACCCCCAACTCCCACGGCTGATTAAAGGCCTAAGTAAACTAACTTATCTAGACGAATTTCTTTATATCCCCAGGTTATCCAACCTTTGCTATTAGGCTCCGGATAAGAGAATCTGGCTGACTTCAGCCAAATTATCTTTCGAAGCTTTTGCAAAACCTCCCAGCCTTCCAAGAAGGTTTGTATCTTTTTTCTATAATTTCTCCCACCACCCTGACTAATCTCCTACAGTAATATTAGAATTCTTTTTTTTTAATGAATGAAGGTAACAGAAGAACAAATGACTAAACCTTTCAAGCTTGGGTACTTTCTAAGGAAAAATGATGGTACCACTAACAAAAACTGGGGCTGCTAAAAACATAAGACATTTCAGAATAGTACAATCAACATTCATAATAAAGTTGTCATTTCTAATAAACATACTTGTTTCATGAAAATGACTTTTTAAAAGTAATTTTACTTACATTACTAATTGAACACTCCAATTAATTAATTGTTGGAATATCCCCTTCCAGCAAATAAACAGGTGAAATTAATCTTTTGTTATATCAATCTATGCTAATATGTTTAATAAATATTAAATATGCATGAAATAATTCATTCAGCAGATATTTATTGAAAGCTTCTCTATGCCAGGCACTCTTCTGTGCTGAGGACTCGAAGGTAAATAAGGCAGAGAAGGACTCCCCATCAAAACTTGCATTCTGGCTAGGGAACACTTAGAATAAAGGTATAACAATTAGAAAATGTCTAGGAATGGTAAGTGCTGTCAAGAAAATAAAAAAGCGTAAAGAGCAACTGGGAAGTGGTGATGGCTATTTGAAACAGGAAAGTCAGAGACAGATTCTCTAAAGAGAGAACACTTGAGCTGAGATCTGAATGAAGAGAAAAAGTCAATCATCTTACAATCATTACAGATGAAAAGAAGAGCTGGTAAATGTCATTATGGCACTTTAGTCATGGCTACACATTTCTGTTCCTCAAAAGCCAACCCATTTAAAACTGGCATCAATTGTAATCAAAATGTATGGACATGCAACAGTACTGATTTTTTTTTTTTTTTTTTTTGAGACGGAGTTTCGCTCTTGTTGCTCAGGCTGAAGTGCAGTGGTGTGATCACAGCTCACTGCAACCTCTGGCTCCTGGGTTCAAGCGATTCTCCTGCCTCAAGCCTCCTGAGTAGCTGGGATTACAGGTGTGCACCACCACGCACAGCTAATTTTGTATTTTTAGTAGTGACACGGTTTTGCCATGTTGGTTAGGCTGATCTTGACCTCCCGACCTAAGGTGATTTGCCTGCCCCAGCCTCCCAAAGTGCTGGGATTACAGGCGTGAGCCACTGTGCCTGGCCAATGATTTTTAAGTGATCTAAAAATAATTAGTGATGTTGTGCGATAGGCAATATTCACTTTCAGATACACCTACACAGAAAGTATTAATGTACAAAACTTTTAAAAATATGTCACAGATGCTTAAACATTAACATATGTTACTTAACAGCAATCTTTTGATATACACATCATATGCGCAGAACTATATGACTCTTTCTCTTAAAGTGAGAACATTTCTATATTGGATAAGCAGTAAATATAAAGAGAATCTTACTTTTAGCAAATATATCAACTGGTGATCCATCAGGCAAAAGCCATGGCCAACCTTTGAACTGCCATGCAGGACCCTGCACAAAAACGGCTACAACGCGGTCCCTACAAGTAGAAAAGTGGATGGGGGGAGGTAGGGGACAGACGGAGATTATTTCAAACTTGAGCTTTAGCTACTAATAAATCTCTTAGGCAACAGACCCATAAACATTTATGTGGTAAAGTCTTATCAATCCTTCTATGAAGGTAAGTACTTACCACCTTTTCAATATCATGATTGTTATACTTCCCATATATCTGGTTTTTACACCTAAGTCTTTTAAACATATTAAATGGACAATACTTGTATGTAATTTCGTTTTCATTTTCTGTTCCCTGCAATAGGGAATAGTGGTTGATAACTAGTAATCAAAAAAGTTGTTTAAAACATCATTTAAAATTCAAACACATCTTAAATATTTTACTTTAACTAAAAACATTACATTACAGGAATTCCTCAACCATTTTACAAGGTCCCAGGGCCTTATCTGAGTTCTTGTGATTACTTGGGAAGTAATTTGAGTATAGAAACCATTTAGACTTTTATAATTTTTGCAATTGTTTTACAACTGTTTCATTCACCCTAAATGTATAAGTATTTTTTAAAGCAATTTTTTTCCCAACCAATCAACCTAGTTTTCCTAGAAAGAACAAAATTCTTTATAGACCCTCAAATTTCATTATTTTACAAAATATTTAATTGAATTGAGAAATTATAAGTAGTACTGCCATAAACAGGTAAAGCCAATATCTAAAGAGGTGGGAACGAAACAACATCAACAATAATGGTTGAAATAAGTAATATTTACTGAGCATTTACTATGTGTCAAGTGCCATTTGAAGGACTTTATGCATTACTTATGATGTTAACACATTTAATCTTCAAAACAATCCAATGATCTCCCTGGACACTATTAGAAACCTCAGTGTATAAATGAAGAAACAGGTGCATGGGCATATTGGAGAAGACAAAGGAAGGTAGAAGTACAGAGAAAAGGAAGAAGGGAAGAAGGGAAGGAGGAGAATAAATTACTATGCTGGGGCACTGGGTATGCTACTGTTCCTATTTAAGGGCAGATAAATCATGAGAACAGCCATCTCAGTATTATGAAAACAGTTTTGATCTTGCAACTCTGTGAAAGAGTCTTAGGAATGACCTGAGGTCTGCAAACCACACTTTGATAACCACTGCAATTAATGAAGACTGCAGACATACAAAAAAACATTACACCAGAGTTACCTTCTATTCAAGCAGAAGACCTGCAAGAACCATTAAAAACTGCAAGCTTAAAATTCTTAAGCTGCTCAAAATCTCTGAGGCTAAAATTAAGTCTTAAGTTAAAAAATTTTCCCTTTCACAGGATACATGCCTCAAACTGTCAAAATCATCTTTGGCAATGCAGCACACTATTAAATAATCCTTCAATTTCATGATGTAACTTATAACAGCTGAAAGCCCAAGATGCCTGCCAAAGCAAAGGGAAATTGATGGGCAGAGATCACTTATATTCCACTGGGTCTTATAGGATCAGCAGAGAAGCAGGGTAATAAAAATGTTACTCCCCTTGAATTCTTGGAAGGATAATTAAAGGAAAAGGAAAATAAGGAAGTAAGGAAAATGCTGGAGACTTCAATGGCTGGAGATCCTAACTAATACACACAAGCAGTATTTTACAGCATAGTGATGACATTTGTATACACTGTATTATTTCTGCAAATACATTGCAAACATAAAATACAAGTGGTATAACTTTCCTATTTGGTTTTAAGCTTGATATCTGAAATTCTAATCTTACTTTCTACATTACTCGAAGTATCTATCAGGTACCAGAGAAGAATTATAATTTAAAAATTATATATATATAATTTATATATATAATTCTCTCTATATATATTACATATAATATATATTATATATAAATATGTATTTTATATGTGTGTGTGTGTGTGTGTATGTATATATATATAGAGAGAGAGAGAGAGAGAGAGAGAGATAATTATCCTACCAGTCTTGAGGCATAAGTTTAAGGGGCTGGTCTACTACTCTATAAGATACTGTGACACCAATTAATTGTAGTGCCCCCTGGTTGCAATTTTCTTAAGAAAATTTTTAATATTAATATTCACAATGCCTTGACTTCTTAATGCCCGAAAACTAACAAGTACTTCAAAGGTAAATTTATCTAATGTGCCATGTGTTGCATTCTCTGTATCACAGATAATACTCAACTTTTACTTCAGATTAAAGAAATAAGGTAATCTGTGTGTCTAAATTTATAGGTACTTTATATTATAAACAGCTTAATATTTTGTTAAAGAACATTTTAATGCAATAAAAGGGTTAAACCATGATAAAAGAGCTGTTCCTATCATTTTTATTAGATTATTCCCTTACAATAAAAGTATGCCTTCACTTTTTTCTTACCAGATAATTGAAATTCTCCAAACCAAAAATCTGAACATAGAATACCTTACAACATTAGTCTAATTTGCTGGGTTCTACAAGCTCATCCAGAACAAATGAACAAGTGGAAAGAATTTTTTACACTGGGTTTTCCAGAAGTTGGAATGTTTCTTCTTAAAAGTAAAATCAAGTTTACCTATCCAAAATGTAAAGTTATTGAGGAATTATTAGAATGTTAACATTATTGATGACCAAACTAAATATACATTAGCATACTTTTCAAAGACAGTTCCTATTTAGAACCCATGATAAAATTTGATAGTTGCTCACACAAGAAAAAACAACCAACAATACACAGAAAACAAACGAATATTTAAAAAATATAGGCTGGCAGGTGCAGTGGCATGCACCTGTAGTCCTAGCTACTTGGGAGCCTGAGGCAGGAGGACTGATAGAGTCCAGGAGTTCAAGTTCTGCCTGGGCAACATAGTGAGACTCCATCTCTCAAAAAGCAACATCATCAACAGCAATAATAACACTCATTCTCTTGGATTCAACACCTGTGAAAAGAAATATATATATATATATAAAATATCTTACCAGTCTTGAGGCATAAGTTTAAGGGGCTGGTCTACTACTCTATAAGGTACTGTGACACTAATTGCAGTGCCCCCTGGTTGCATCTGGTCTTTTCTTCTTTGTATTAGAGTTTCATTTTCTCGTTGACAACCTTGTTTCTTCTTTTCATCTGATGGGACAAATCTTTGAAAAAACAGAGATGAGAAAAAGCCAAATGTATTCCATGTGATGAAAATGGGAAAATAAACTATAACTTGAAATAATTTTTAAAACATTAATTCGTTTTAAACTAAAGATGTTTGTTGTTCAATAAATCTGCTCTGCAAGTACAGATCATGGAGAGTATAGGTCTTTCCTCTGTACACCAAACAAAACTCAAGCTTACTCAGATCCTAAGTTGGGGACTGTGTGTGTGTAACAACACACAATTTATATTCATTCAACTAGCACTTAGCATTCTCCACACTAATCCTTAATTTCTCAAATTCTATTAGAGGGAAACTTCATGATAAAGAGGAATTTTATTAGAAATCAAAAAGCAATTTGAAATGAAAAAGTTGTTGTGGCTAGCAGGCTTCTTTACTCTGTGACTTAGCCTATCCAGGAGCTTAACAAAACACTTTTTTTTTTTTTTTAATTTTATGCTTCAGCAAAATTACAAAAATACCATCAAACTTCAGAGTAGCCTTGAAAAATTTAAAGTATGAAAATTAGGCTGGGCGAGGTGGCGGGCGCCTGTAGTCCTAGCTACCCGGGAGGCTGAGGCAGGAGAATGGCGTGAACCTGGGAGGCAGAGCTTGCAGTGAGCTGAGATCCGGCCACTGCACTCCAGCCTGGGAGACAGAGCGAGACTGTCTCAAAAAAAAAAAAAAAGAAAATTAAATCAGTGTATGCTGATAATCTGCTATTATCATCAACTAGTGGCATCTATCAACTTATTTATGTGGATCCATTCTCAAGACAGATATTCTTTTTTAAAAATAACTTAGCAATCTGGATAGCTATTACCACATATAAAATTGGCTAGTGTTCACAAAGTATTTTAGAAGTCTTATTTTCTAAATATATACATAATCCTAACAGTCCAACAGCATATTTTATTAGCTATGATCTAGTCTCTCCAATAAAATGGAGAGAATACAATCAATATATTGAAAGTATCATTCTGCTTCTAACGTTTAAGAGATGAAAGGGTGAAAGGACCAAAAAGCACAGGAGAACTTGTGCTAATTAGAGTTCTCTGAAAAATTTCAATTCCACATATTGGATTCATTAGAAGGTAATATTAATTTTATTGTCTAGAAAGTTTTTAGTTCATGGTGATAATGATGATACTGAACTTTGTTTCTGAGCTGATCTCACATCCATTTTACATTTGGCTAAAAAGTTAAGATTTCTATATCATTTAAAAATTTCCCCCAGATAATCATTTGCTTCCTGTGGCATTTGGTTTATTTATTAATCAAGCTCACTTAGAAAATGCCAGGCAGTACTAATACTTTGAATAACGAAACACATTATTTAGAAAACTTAATATGTGTGCATTGTTTGAAATTGTGTTCTAATAAAAAGCCACAACAAAAATGTTTTAAGTTAATAATATGTGCAACATATTGTGCTGTAAGTTTTATAATATATAGTAGTACAAAACATAGTCCCTGCCCTCTTGAACTTATGTTCCACAAACACAGAACAAAGGGATTCTACTGCCAAGATAAATGCTTTGTTTTATCTCAATCTGTAACTACATGGGATTTGAAATGTTTAAGTTGTTAAATATAAGACTGCATCTCTCTCTTTTCTGGCTTCTGAAATTTTAACATGGTGTTAAAGTTTAAATTTACTTGTAAAAAATTCCTTATAAACTTTAATCATATGACTAGAATACAAAATACATACAAATGGGTGATCTATTACAATACCAAACTAATAAAAAGTCTATTATACACCTGTTTCAACTTCTGATGCCTAAGAAATAAGAGTTACACAGCATCTACATGTCTACACACTGGTTGATACGTTTTATAAAAGTTCAGAAACATTAACATGTTTTTACAATTAACCACCATCCTAGAATTTTTAGATACTGTAGCATGTTAACTTCTATCTACATATTTTCTTAGAATTGCAGTCATCTCTATAAGCAATTTAAAAAAGCTTTATTTCAAAATGCTTTTCAGCAAAGATCTCATTTGATAACATAAAGATAGATCTTATGACCTCTTCCCTAAAGTTAAGTCTACAAAAAAGATTCGTATTCCACAGAGTCAATATAATTTTACCTGTTCACCCTACTGCAGTCCATCAAATCTAAGACATCAATGATTGTGAGCTACACCATTATATTGTACCACTATGAAAGGAAAAAAATACTGCCAATTAAACTATGATATTCTATATAAATCACAGTCATCCCTCCAGAAAACTGGTTAGTTCTTCTGGCTTGGGCTGCACTGCTGGATGTGTGTAACTGGTAATTGTTTCACATATATCTCAGGCAAAACAGGTTCATCTACTCTTGCTATCTTCCATTTTTAGGTTCCATAAAGCACTTGGTTATTGCTTTGCAAAAAAAAATATGGGATTAGGACCAGGTGCAGTGGCTCACGCCTGTAATCCCAACACTATGGGGGGCCAAGGTGGGTGGATCATTTGAAGTCAGGGGTTCGAGACCAGTCTGGCCAACATGGTGAAGCCCCGTCTCTACTAAATATACAAAAATTGGCTAGGTGTGGTGGCATGCGCCTGTAATCCCAGATACTCTGGAGGCCGAGGTAGGAGAATCTTGACCCCGGGAGGCGGAGGCTGCAGCAAGCCGAGATCACACCACTGCCCTCCAGCCTGGGTGATAGAGTGAGACTGCCTTCGGAGAAAAAAAAAAAAAAGAAAGAATGGGAATGTCATTCCTCTAATGTGGAAGAATTCAAGTATCAAATCTGCACTCCACTGCTTCATTTCAGTGTATTTTTTAATATATAACATTTTTATTGACATAAAATTTACATACAGTGAAATGCGCAAATAGATGAGTTTTGATAAACGTATACTAAGTATAAGCACTATTTCAATCAAGATAAAGAACATCTGCATCAACCAGAAAGTTTCCTTATATACCTTTCAGTCAAATGCCATTCCCCTTCCCAACAGGCAACCACTCTTCTGCTTTCCATTCGTTTTTTCTGTTTTGGGAATTTATATACACACACTCATATACCAGACGTATTATTTTGTACCTGGCTTCTTTCATTCAATGTAATGTTTCTGATAATCATACCTGCTGTGGGATGTATCAGTAGTTCATTCTTTTTATTGCTAAGTAGAATTCTATTGTAAGAAAATACCATTCTCCTGCTAGTGGATATTTGGGTGTGTCTTAGTACATTCAGGATACAATAATAGAAATAGACTGGGGTGGCTTGTAAACAACAGGAATTCATCACTGTTCTGGAGGCTAGGAAGTCAAGATAAAGATATTGGCAAGTCTAGTGTCTAGTGAGGTCCCACTTCCTGGTTTGTAAACTGTATTATTGCTGTGTCCTCATATCACAGAAGGAGCAAGGAAGCTCTCTGGGACCACTTTCATGAGGGTGCTTATCCTATTTGTGAGGACAGAGCCCTCATGACCTAATTACTTCCCAAATACCCTGGCATTAGTGACTAAGTTTCAACATATAAATTTTGTGGGACACAAATGTTCAGTATATAGCAGGGTAGTTTCAAGGTCTGGGTTATTACAAGTAAAGCTAACATAAATATTCCTGTATAAGTGTTTTTGTGAACACATGCTTTCATTTCTCTTATGTAAATACGTTTGAGTGACTCATGGGGTTATGTGTAACTTTATAAGAAACTGCCAGGAAGTTTTCTAAAGCAGTTGAACCATTTTATACTTCCACTAAAAATGTATGAGACTTCTAGTCTTTTGAATTTTAGTCTTTCTAATGGGTATGTGAAATAGTATCTCAACATCATTTTAATTTTTACTTCCTCAACAACTGATGATAATGAGAATTTTTTTTCATGTGCTGATTGACCATTTGTATACCTTCTTTTGTGGAGTATCATTATCTCTTATTTTTAATTGGATTTTTAAAAATACTGACACACAGGATTCTAGATACAAACCTTTTGTTAGAAATGTGCAATGAAAAGATTTTCTCCCAGCATGTGGCTGGCCTTTTTATTTTCTTAATGGTGTCTTTTGATGAACAGAAGTTTTAAAATTTCGTGTTTTTTTTTTATGGTTCACTTTTTTTTTGAGACGGAGTCTCGCTGTGTCTCCCAGGCTGGAGTGCAGTGGCGTGATCTCGGCTCACTGCAAGCTCCGCCTCCCGGGTTCACGCCATTCTCCCACCTCAGCCTCCCAAGTAGCTGAGACTACAGGCGCCCGCCACCACGCCCGGCTAGTTTTTTGTATTTTTAGTAGAGACGGGGTTTCACCATGTTAGCCAGGATAGTCTTGATCTCCTGACCTCGTGATCCACCCGCCTCGGCCTCCCAAAGTGCTGGGATTACAGGCTTGAGCCACCGCGCCCGGCCTATGGTTCACTCTTAAACAAAAAAAAAACACTGTCTATTTCAAAGTCACAAAAACATTCTATTATGCTTTATTCTAGAAGCCTTACAGTTTTAGCTTTTAAGTTTGTGTGTATAATCTACCTTAAAAAATGTTTGTGTATGGTGTTAGGTAATGGCTGAGAATCATTCCTCTCCACCCATATATTTATCCAATTGTTCCAGTACCATTTATTACTAAGGCATTCATTTCTCAACTGAAATGCATTGACGTTTTTGTCAAAAATAGTACAGGCCCATTTACGCAGTCTCCATTATTTTCATTCATCTAACTATCTTTACATCATTAGTACAATGTGTGGATTACTGCAGCTTGATATTAAGTCTTGAAATCAGGTAGTGTGAGTCCTCTCTCTTCGTTCCTCCATAATAACTGTTTCAATGATAAATTGCACCATATCTTTTCCGAAGATATTTTGCACCACATTTAAATTCCACATATATAGTACCATCTATGCACATACCTCACAGAACTGATGAAACTATGAATTGCCATCACTATTTTGTGCATGTGCCAGTAATAAAAATTGTGTCAGGACTGCCACCTAGCCACAGCAACTCTAAGATACCATCAATCATATGACATATTACAATTTGAGAGATATTAA